GGCTCTGCCTCAGAATTGGACTGGGGTAGGCCTGGGCCCTCTTTCAAGATGCCATAGGATGCCTGTGCCTTGCCTCACTCATACTGAATCAGAATCTCTAGGAGGTGACCTACCCATGCCCTGGACCTTGGATACACCAGAACCATTAGGAATCTGTAGTGAAGCTATTAGGGGGTGCTGTTTTACTTATATTTAGAATGATTTTGAAGTAATCATAGATTTGCAGGAAGTTGCAAAAAAAATGTATGAGAAGAACACATGCACCCTTCAGCCAGCCTCTCCCAATGTAAACATCTTTTATAACTAGAACACAGTATCAAAACTAGGAAACTGGCATCAGAAAACACATTCTCAAATGCTTAGCCCTTGGCTTCCTTGAGTGAGCAGGTCTTTCTTTATTTTGCTATTAATGTTGGGGTATGTCAACAATTATGATACTGGCTAGTGTAGAGATACCATGCATAGAGACTTTAAAAAAGCAATCATGTGCATTTTTCCCTAATTAAAAATAGCACAATGTAACATTCGAAAAATGTTAAAGGACAAAGTTGAGATGAAAATCTCTGATTTCACACTAGGGATTAAAAACAGCTCTGACATAGGGAATACAGCTTGTCATTTCTATTTAGCTACATTTAGCATTGTTGTATCTTATAGGGGAAAAAACTCTGAAATGACAACAGATTTTAGTTTTCACTTAATTAGCTATTATTTTTAAATAGCACCTTTATAAAGATGCACTGATTTGCTTAAACATCTACAGTGGAGTTTTTTGAATTTACAGAATCTTTAAATCTCAAACAACTCCTGAGTTGCCTTTGAGCAAGGAGAGCTATCTATCAGGATTATCCTGTCAGCTCAGGATTCCTCCATCTCACACAGCTCCTTCCTCAAAGACATGTAGTATGGGGTACAGAACTGGAGGTTTGAGAATTAGATTGGTAAAAAATCAATATAATTTCAAATGAGAGACAGTTCAGAAGAAAATCATTTTTATAGTATTCAGAGGAATAAACTGATCAGCTATGTACATTTAAAAGTGTTTTCTTTCAAGTGATGTTACTATCACAT